TAAGTCTAATGTATCTGATGTTCCACCCCAGTTATCCACTATTGAAACATCTGAGTCTGTAAAACCTGTTGTTGTGGTTGAATCTAAGGGCATTGTCCCAAAGTCTGATGATATTGATGAGTCAAATCTAGTTGTTTTATCTTCTGATATTGATCGTCTTGTGGTTCCTGTTGACCCTGAATCCACTATATCTAATAAGCCCTCTGTTGAGAAGTGTCCGGTTGAAAATCCACATAAGGAGTCTGTTGTTCCTCTCTCTGGACAGTCAGAAAGCCCTCGTCCTTATGAGTTAGTTGATAGTGTTCCTATCTATACATCTTCCAGTCTGGCTGAGAGTCTAGATCACATTCGTCACTTTGCGGCTTTACCCTCTGCTTCAGTACCTGAGCCATACAAAATGATACAACCAAAGCATGATCCTTCTATTCCAACAGACAGTGATGATGAAAAAATACTGGCTAAAGTGTATGGTTCCAAGGCTCCATCCTCTGATCCAAATGAGTTTCTATTAGTGGTAGAGACCGCTCACCCAGATTCAACAACTTTCAAAGTCATAGAAATCACCAAGCTCCTGGCCTTTTCTACTGTCCATGGGTCTGAGACTAGTAATTCTGTGTCCCCAAGTCCTACAAAGAGCTCACCTGTAAGAGAGACTCGGAAGTCAAAGAGAAAAGGGGTTCTAGAGAAAGTTGATGTGGATACTGGTGATGAGCCTACAAAGTCTACTCAGCCAGAGAAGAAGAGAAGGTCGGCTGATTCTAAGAAAGCTGAAAGTGATCCCCCAGTCAGAACAAGTATTCAAGACCCTGCGATCGTTAAAGGTAAAGCTCCTACAGCTGCTCCATCCACAAAAGGTAGGAAAATGAAAGTTGTTACAAAGCCAAGAGGAAGAAGTGTTACCCCTGATGTACAGAATGCTCCTATTGAAGTTCCAGAGAGTCCTGATACTTCTGTCTACAAGCCACAGTTTGTCTCTGATGCTGCACAAGACAAATGGTCTACAATGGTGAAACGAGAGCTGATTGTACAGAGATCGGTTGATGAGAATCAGCTGAATTCAGTGTGTGATGTATTGCCCCTTCTGCGTGAGGTTGGTTTGCTACAGACAGTGACATCTGTATGTGCCTATTCGAAGCTGCTGACTTATGAATTCTACTGCAACCTGAATGAAGAGATTGACGATCTGACTAGTAAGAGGTGTATGCAAATCTTCATTAGGGGTTCTTGGTATGTGTTTGGGCTTGATGCGATCAACCAGTATTATGGATTGAAGTCAGTTGATGAAGATGAAATTACTGACTGGGATCTGGTTGCTAAGACCCTCACTGGAGGACTGACGTTTGAATGGTCGAGTGGTGATAATGATACCTTGTCCAGTTCTCAATTCACCTCCAAGTTTGTTATCCTCCACCGTATTGCTCTGCACAACTGGCTGCCATATGCGCATTTTCATACAGTCTGTAAGCCTCTAGCTGCTCTCCTGTTTCGAGTTGGCACCAAGATAACCGTGGATCTAGGGAAATGGATCTTCTCTCATTTCCTCGCTTTGATCCATCCCAGAGAGCAAAAGGTTAAGCTTCCTTATCCCAATCTTATTTTTGGTGTGCTAACATCCCAGGGTTTGATTCCGATGCCAAGTGAGATAATTGCTCCTTCTCTACTCTATACTGTGGATCCACGTCTTTCGACTGGCAAACACATCAAGGATGTTACGCCCGTTGATGCTCCGAACACTTCTGAGGCTGATCTTGTTGTTGATACCCCCTACGGTCGAGATTTGCAGCTGTCCTTACGATTGAAGGCTCGTGTGTCTGAGCTGCAGACTATGGGTAACATTATCTCAAATTAGCTCAATGTGGCCCGTACAGAGCTGGCGACTGTCCTACTCCGAATGGGTCTTTCTGAGTCTGCTGCTGGTGAAGCTTTGAAGTCTGACAATGGAGGTCCCTCTAATGCTTAATGAGTCCTTTGTCTATCATTTGCAAAAAGGGGGAATACTATACTCAGGGGAAGTATTTGTGGTGGTTGAAGTACCTTCTGGCCCTATCTGGGCGTTTTTTTTTTTTTTTTTTTTTTTGTGAAGAAATGGTTTGATCTATGTCTTGATCCAGCACGGGTTGTGTGCTGATGTTTTTATGGGTTGTAATCAAACAATATTTCTTTTTGCTATAACTGTTGCCAGTACAAGCCCTTTTATTATGTTCTTCTCTATCTTTAGTTGAGATATTTCATCTTGAGTTGAGTTGTTTTGCCAAATAATAGCCAAAGGGGGAGTTTGGTAGTGTTTTATTTCTTTAAGAAAAACCCCAACATATAATTGGCAATATTATTATGGCAAATTAAGATAGGGTTTAGCTTGGTGTCTGTTTGTCCTTGAAGAAGACTGACTGATCAGTACAATCAACAGACGCGGTTATGAGATGATGGTTTTGGAAAGAATATCAGCGAATCAGCTTGAGAGGTATGGACCAAATCTTAAGATTTCTTTCTTCACAAAAAGTCCTACCATCTACAATCAGAGGTATATTTGGAGAGTGTCCAAATCAAATAAGTATATATATTCTTATTCGCTCAGAAGTTAGGGTTGCATTGATTGAAGCCGCAACGCTCTATACTAAACAGAATACACATCTCTGGTTGTCATGCCTCTTCTCAAGGCAATAAGTTCTTGGTGATTATGAAGAAGAACTTGAGAAGTATCAACGTTGCTTATACGATAGGACGCGAAGATCACTCAGTTGTGGGAACAACGTGGGACTGCGTCATTGAAGCGGACTGCATCAGAGTTAGCTCTCCAGTTGAAGGGATTTCATTAGACTTCTGCATGCGTGGCTCTCCTACTTCAACAATCCACTAAACCTTTGTAGACTGGGTACTGACCTTGTGTGGGGCACTTGGGTGAGATTGTTTTTTCTCTACCTTTGTACATTGGATTATGAGTTAGTGGATTGGACGCATCGGTGATCGTCCCCCAGATGTAGATACACACTTTATCGAACTGGGTAAACAAACATATGTGTTGATTTACTTTCTGCCTTAGTCTTCCGCTTTATGCGTTATCTGCCGTTCTATCTGAATGACTGCTTAATCGAGAATCTGAGTCAGTCAGTCCATTATTCAGTTTACTAGAAACTAAATCAATATCCAGATTAAGAGAATATGCAAAATTACATAATTGATAGGTTTATTTATGTGCCTTGTCCACATACATCGGTAGTTCTTTCCAAAGAATTGTTGAAATGTATATTTGATTGGAATATTGAAAGAAAGTTGTCAACTTTGACTGTTGACAATTGTTCAACAAATGATGGTATGATTGAACTCCTTGTATCCAAGCTAAATCCTAGCCATCTTTTATTGCGTGGGAAGTTAGTTCACATGTGTTGTTGTGCACACATTTTAAATTTGATTGTTCAAGATGGGCTAAAGATTATGAGTTCGGGATTAGAAAGTATAAGAAATAGTGTTGCCTTTTGGTTAGCCACACCAAAAAGACAACAAACTTTTAAAAAAATGCAACACATTTGGGAATTGAATATTCAAAGCAATTAGTGCTTGATTGCAAGACCGATGGAATTCAATACATTTCTAATGCTTAGTGTTGCTTTGGAATGCAAGGATGTTTTTTATCGTTTGGAACAAAGAGAAAATATTTTTACTTGTGCACCACTAAAAGAAGATTGGGAGTTAGCTGAAGAAATGTGTAAGAAATTGAAGTTGTTCTAAAAAGCTTCAAATGCATTTTCAGGGAGGAATTATCCAACATTTAATGTGTTTTTTTCCTTGATGTGTGAGATCAAATTCTCTTTGAGAAGTTGGGTGAAATCTTCTGATTTGGGTGTGGTAAAAATGGCTGAAAATATGATAAATATTGGGAATCAATGCATGTGATTATGGCAGTGGCTACAATTCTTGATCCAAGATATAAGTTTAAGATAATTGACTATTTCTTTGTGGAATTCTATGGAGAAGCAGCTGCTTAAGAAATCACAAGGGTTTAAAAATATTGTTATGAATTGTTGCATGAGTATGAAAATTCCTCTCATGTTGGCAAAAGCACCAAATATTCATCTAATGTTCCAATTGAGGATGTGAATGAAGGAGATTGTTTTCTCTCAGGATTTAAGTCCTATTTGAATAATTCTAAAACAACGGGCTTGAAATCAGAGTTGGATCAATATTTGGAGGAAAAAGTATTGCCATTAGCTAATGACTTTGATATTTTAGTTTTGTGGAGAGGTGTTGGACTCCGCTATCCAGTGTTGCAAAAGATTGCCAAGGATATTTTAGCTATTCCAATTTCTATTGTTGCTTCGGAATCAACTTTTAGCACCGGTGGTAGATTGGCGAGTCCTCATCCAATCGTTATGCCATGGAACTGTGTTCATCATCCATGGTGAACACGGTCCCAAACCGTTATCTTTCACCAATCTTTTTTTTTTTAATTAACAGCACGACTTTTCTTCTTCATATTCACATTTTGCGATTTCACTTCCTCTTCGCGCAAGTTTCTTCCATACTCATAAATTATGAATGTGCAGGCATGAATTTATGAATGTGCAGTTATAAAATTATGAATTTTCTTTTATGAGATTATGAATTTCTGTTATGAAATTATAAATTTTCTGTTATGAGATTATAAATGTACAGAAAATTCATAATTACATAACTGTAAATTCATAATCTCATAACAGAAAATTCATAATTTAATAAATGTAAATTCATAATCTGAACATAGAATGCAAAACGCCGTTAACAACACATTAACTATTTTTTTTTCGGTAAAAACGATGCCGTTTAGGACCGTGTTTACCAAACATGGTGAACAAGTTTCCACGGCATAATTTACGGTCCTCATCGTAGTAGACTTCATCCAAATACTTTGGAGGCATTAGTGTGTGGTCAAAATTGGTTGTTCAAAGGTATTAAAGGTAATAAAATTTACTCAAATGAAATTTAATAGCAAATAATTATTACTTTTCTTTAGTTTACTTGATATAATTTGTTATTTTGGAGGTAAACTTTCCCAGGAAAATGATGCATGCAACACTATTCATGATGATTATGAAAATGAAGAGGACTTAGAAGAAATGGAGGTACATCTTAAGTTATAAATATAACATAATTTATGTATTAAATTTAATACGATAAAATGAAATCGACATGAATTATTTTTAATTATTTTGAATCTTTGATTCATTTTTTTAGATGGCAGACTTGGCAGTGGAGATTTGAAGAACTAGTGTTGAAGTCTATAACTACTTTTTTGTACTAAGTCGAGGATTTGAAGCACTAATATAATTCATGAAGATTTGAAGCATTAAACTTGAAGTATTGTATAGATTTTTGGGTAGTAAGGGAATGTCCTAACTCACTAATATTACAGCTTCTAATTATTTTTTGGTGCTAGTGACTAAGATTTTATACACTAATGTTGAAGTTGGAAGCAAATGTAATATTCAAGTTGGTAATTATTTGATGAAGACTTTGATGCACTAATATTATAAATTGTAGTAATAAAATTTTTATTAGATGTAAGTTTCATATTATTAATGAGACTAAGGTTACATGCAAAATCCCTATGAAAATTTCTCACACCCACAAAATCTCTACGGGGACGAGTATGAAAAGAATTTTTATTTCTCACGCACGTGCAGATGCAGGTATGAGAAGTGGGGTGGGATTGCGGGGGCAGGCTCCGCCCTGCCTCATTGCCATCCCTAGGTTAGGTTCTTAAACGGTTAAACATATAAGTTTACCTTATAATTTGCCTAAAATACGGGGTTTGCTCATAATTTTGTTTTATCAACCATCAAACTCTAGACGAACACTAACGCCGTCAACCTGTGGACCGACTCTTATTAAAGGGTCTTAAACACTTAAACCCCTTTAAAGCCTTTTCTCCGTTACAGCCCCACCGGAGATTTCTCAAACTCCGCTAGCAATGGAAAACCAAGAGGTTTTGTACGAAACCCTAAGCCCGCTCTACGGCGACGCTTCTGCCGAGCAAACGCCGCCTGCATCTCCGGCGCATTCTGATAACCTTGAGCAATACGTCGTTTTTCGCAACGAAATTTCTCTGTACTCAACGCAATTCCCCTCGCCGGAGGCCGCCGCGCAGGATTATTTTTCTCTCGATGCAGACGCAGAGGTCGATGAACTGAAGCTCAGTTCATTCTCGACGCCATCTCCAGCTTCTGTACCGGTGCCGGTTAAGGAGCCGGCGAGGACGATCGAAGGAAACTGGTTTCGCGCCAACTGTAGTTTCCGAAGCCCTATGCTTCAGCTCCACAAAGGTATTGCCTTTTGTTTGGTTTAGCTTGAATCACACCACAATAGGCTTCATTATTCCTGTTAATTCTCGCTAATTGGGACAATGAGCATTTAGTTTGCGTTTTATAATGCCCCATTGTGAATAACCGCTGAACAAACTTACTATACAAAAGAAACTGCGAGTCTCATTCTCTTTGTTTCAGTGACTACAAAAGTACTGTATAAGTCAGGTTTTGGTAATTTGAATACAGTTCGGTTCCTAACTTGTTGTCTGCAAGATTGCAGAAATATTAGATTTTTGTGATTTCCTGTCACCAAGTCAAGAGGAACAAGCAGGACGGAATGCAGCAGTAGAACGTGTCTTTAATGTCATCAAGTATATCTGGCCCAAAAGCAAGGTCTCTCTACCTTATAATTAATTAATATTATGCCACTTCTGTCTTTTGTTCACTATAAGTGTAGCCCTGCATGTATGTCTTATCTATGAATTCATTAAGGTTCCTCACAGAGAAATGTCTACTTGTATTTCGTTTCAGCCAGAAGTTTTTGGGTCTTTCAGGACAGGGTTGTATCTTCCATCTAGTGATGTTGATGTAAGTTTGTTATTACTGTTTACTTAATGTTAATTACTTAATTGTGAACCTGTTTTCATCTAGGGCTTTCAGATCTGTTGAGGTCCATTTTTTGGATATATGATGTTAACTGCTAGTACTAGGACTCTGATCTGTCTCTATGTTAACATCTGCTTGGAGTCCAGAAAGAATGCCATTGGCCATTGCTGTAGTGCTGTTAGCCTTGGCTGTTAAAATATCTCTTGGTTAGTCCCTTAGGGGAAATTGAATAAAAGTGGAACAGTATAGAGAATATTAGCATGGCCATTGTGTGAGGATAACACACTAAAATTGAGAAATTGTTCGAAATTATACTTATCATTATGTGTGTGTGTATCACTGTATCTTGGCCAATACCACATGCAGATATACAGACAAAAACTTAGATTATTGTTTTCACTTCTAATCACATTCTCAAGCTGTATGGTCTGCAAAATGATCCAAAATCTTTGTTTCTAACCTCTTTATAAGGTGTTTCAACACAAAGGGTTAAAGGCTAGGGGTCTTCTCATTGGGGTTTCTCTCTGATGTACGCCAAAAAAGGCCTCTTTATAATGATTCAAGACTCCTTGAAACAAGAACATGTACTTGAAATAGACTTTATAATTAGTATCATTTCTTGCTTATTGATCAAATATACTAAGAGAATTGATATCTCTTGGTGGTGGTGAAAAAAAGTGCATTTGGGATGCAGAGAGCTTATGTCTTTGTCATCACAATGCTTGTTTGACTTGGTGTTCTGCTATTGAAATTCAAATAAAAAATCTGGATGGCTGTTGAGTTGTAGGTTGTTATTTTGGCGTCAGACATCAGAAGTCCTCAAATTGGGTTACATGCTCTGTCCAAAGCCCTCTCACAAAAAGGAATAGCCAAGAAGATACAGGTAGACTCCATTTCGTTGTAAACCTCACCACCAGTTGATTTCTTAGTCCTGTTCTTATGTTTTTGTGTTGTCTAAAATCAGGTGATTGCCAAGGCTCGTGTGCCAATAGTCAAATTTGTGGAAAAAGAAAGTGGCATTGCATTTGATATAAGGTTTGTATCCTCTCACTCTGCCGTTTTGTTTTATTTTCTTTGTATCGTTTTGTTCTCTATTTAACTATGACCTACTTTAACCTGATTACAGTTTTGATGTACAAAATGGACCAAAAGCTGCAGAATTTATTACGGTGTGTTATTTTAGCTCCTCTAGTCCCTAGGACAACTATACTAACAAAAGAAGAGATATAGACTACTGTAAACTCTCGTTCCTAGTATTATTTTGTTTCTGATACATTCATGATTTCTTTCAGGATGCTGTCTCTAAATGGCCTCCATTACGACCTTTGTGTTTGATTTTGAAAATTTTCTTACAACAAAGAGAGTTAAATGAGGTGGAGTGGTTTTCTTGGCACATATTGTCAACATTTTCCAAGTTGTTTTGCTGACAAGTGATTTTCAGGTTCAGCTATTCTGCTCTGATATGGTGCTCCCTTACATTGTAGGTGTATACAGGTGGGATTGGATCCTATGGTCTTCTTGTCATGCTGATAGCAATGTTGCGGGTAAGTAACTGAATCATGATTTTGAACGGATTGTATTGAGATTAAAACTCTCTGTAATATATTGTTTTCACTCCTGTAAACTGGTAATCCAAAGTTTTTAATTTTCTAGATGCTATGTTTTTCAGAATCACCGTGATTTTCAAGCTTCTAGGGAACAGAATCTCGGAGTGCTTTTGGTAAGCTTCTTTTCATGCACTCAATCTTGCCTTGTTTGGCCAACTTTGTACTCCTTATCTGAGAAATAAAAATCACTGTAGATGTGTTTATCTAAGAAAGACCGCTCTACCTAGTTAAACTGGTAACACGTAGGCAGTGATCATCTCTTGAAGGCAAGGAGGAAAGGAATCGCTTTTCTCCCCCTTCCTTTTGTATGCAAACTTTGTGGGGTGTTATCAACTATGGCCAACTCTATTGTGGTCTGTGGAAGGTGGTGAAGCTGTGAATCTTTATCCGAAACACTTCATCTGCTAAATACAATACACAGGCATTCTCCAGAGGACACACACAAGCTGTACATAAAGGAAAATCCTAGACTGAATCTAATAAACTTAGTTCTTATATTATCAATGATCAATCCAAATGGTTTCTTACTTTATACTAAAAACATGTTCTACTTTGAGGCTTGTCAAGACATGCAATAATTACCTTTATTTTCCTTGTCATCACTGTGCCTGTTTCCTTATCCACCTATCCATTAACTATTTTTTTTCTTGTGTCTCTAATTTGTGATACTGACGGTATAGTTCTGTGATTTCATAGCTTGATGGATTATTTCCACTTTTAGACTTCCTTAGTTCTTTATGGGGATTGGAAATGCTGTGTTTCTCTTATATATAGGTAAGTTTCTTTGATCTTTATGGACGCAAACTGAATACATCTGATGTTGGGCTATCATGCAATGGAGAAGGCACCTTCTTCCGGAAGATCACTAGAGGGTATGTAATTACAAATATCAAAGCACACCATTGTTTATTTGTTTCTGTTCATAATTTGATATTAGATCCTGCAGTTGAAGCAACCTAGAATGAAATTTTTATGTTTCGCCTTTTCCTGTTGCTTAGGTTCTTAAGCAAGGGAAAGCCATATCTCATATCCATCGAGGACCCACAGGTGTGTGTTTGCTTGTTTGTTTTTATTTATTTATTTTGTGTTTACATCTTCATGGGATTAATTCAAGAAATCACTGCATGTGGCATAATTACTTACCACTTTCTCATTTTGTTTTACTGGTCTGATGGGTGTGGGGCTTGGAGTGAAGCCATTATAGATTGGCATTCTAACCTTGTGCCACTCTCAAGGCATTCTCTACTCTCTAGTCAGTTATAGGGGCACGGGGGTTATTTTCATTGGTTCTAATTGAGGGATTAGTTGCTGCTTGTACATTACTCTTCTCTGGCCTCTGATTTTTTAATCCTTGGGTGACAACAGACACCAGAAAATGATGTTGGAAAGAGCTCTTTCAACTATTTCCAGGTTGGTTCCACATTCCTCAAGAATATTATTCTCTTCATCTCTCTTCTTGCATATCATACTGTACTAGTCCCCATTGAGGGGAGGTGCTTCTTAACATGTGTCCATTGGCATTTATTTGTGTACATTGTTGCCTGAGAAATCTGTTGTGATTTGTTTATGTAATGCTAGAGAACTATTCCAATTCTATTCATCCGAACTCTTTAAATCAACATAATTCTATTCTGGTGGATGGTTAACCCCTGGAGCTTTTGTTAATACTGTTTCTATTGAAATCCACCTTGACATATGATTTGTCCTTGACCTTGTGAATTTGAATTGGAATTCCAAGCTCCCATGTCATAAACGAGTGAGGAACTTGATAATGATTAAATAACTTGGAGATCCTTTGTTTTATGTGATATGTATTTGCAAAAGCACTCAGTACTCTTCTCCACAGTTTGTATTTCGATTAGCACTTTTGAGGAGTCTCCCAAGCCCATGACCACTCTAATCTTTGAACCAAATAGATTTCTGGATATCTAGCAATAATCTACTAGCATATCTTCGTATTTGCTGGAATTTTAAATACACGTCTCCATACTTGTGGACCTGCCGTCCTAGGAAAGTAATTATTGAATCAGTTCACTTATGACACAGTTGCTTCCATTGAAGTCAATTTAAGAGCAATCTACTTGTGATATTACTGCAGGTTAAATCTGCTTTTGCAATGGCTTTCATGACACTAACAAATGCAAACGCCATTTTGGAGTTGGGTCCTTCTAGGAGTATACTCGGCATGATAATAAGACCAGACGAGGTGCTATTAGTGCGGAAAGGTGGGTCTGATGGGGACACTACGTTTAATAGCTTGTTGCCAGGTGCTGGGGAGCCACTGCCCCATAGTGATACGCAGGACATATATTATAACTGGCAGTTAAACGATGAAGAAGAACTGCTTCCTCGAGGCGATGGTATTCTGGAAGATATGACTCCACCATCCTCGGGTAAGAAGAGAAAGAAGTCAAAGGAGAAGCATTCTTCTAAGAAGAAGATGAAAGATGATGGACACACAAGTAGTAGATCGAGGAAAGAAAAGGGTACAAAGAAAAAGCGCTGGAAACACGAGGGTTCATCACCACACTACGTGACGTGATTCAGTTTTTGCAGTGTTTTTCATCCAGGGTGTATGTCTGATAATACTCCATGACCACAATCTGGAGACCTGCAAACACTACTAAAATACTGGTTGGCAGAAGGCTCCTGGACATGCGCTGCACATCTCCAGTTCCTATCCTATCCTATCCGGCAGAAATGGATATAACTTGAAGAAATTCTTCCAAAAGTTTTGATTTGATGTTGTATTTTTTATTTTATTTTTTAAAATCTTGCGTTGAAAGTATAACTGAGCAACTCCATTGTTAGCAAAAAAGAACAAATTTTATTTTTCATCATAAGTACACTGTTGTATTCAGATTTAAAAAAAAAAAAAAAAAAAAAAAAAAGCATTTCTTTTTAATAACCCAAAGTTTTCAGCTTTGTTAGATTATTATATCATATATTCCATGAACTTGCCCCAACTCCCAAAGCTGTCGAATTAAATCTTATATGATTATATTCTATGAACTTGCTCCAAGGCCCATGAAGAAGGTAAATTTACCAAACTGAAAAACAACAAATTTTGGTGTACTCTGCCCAGTAGAATTGGCTAGCAATAAAAATAAATAAAAATCCTGCCAGGGAAACATAAAAATATATTGGCCTTGTTTGGTAAAATGGTTGTTAGCTGATAACTGTTAGTTGTTAGTTGATTGTGTTAATTAGAGGGTATATATAGTTGATAACATTAGCTAATTGTAGAAAAGTGTTTGGTAAATTAGCTGTTAGCTGTTTGGTATAATTTCTTTTCTCAAAAAGCTAATTGAAAAAGTTGCTTGTGGTAGCTTTTTCAATTTTAACCTTTTGGAGTTGCAAAAAACTAATCAACCAAATATTTATATTGATATTTTAACTAAATCAAACAATTAATAGTGGTCAAATAAGCCAAAATTGGCCTATAAGCTAATTTTTTACCAAACAAGGCCATTGTCATGTTTGCTAACATAGTTATAAGTTAATTTTGGCTTATTTGATTACTATTAACTGTTTGACTTATTAAATATATATGTATTTGATTAACTAGTATTTGTGCCCGTGCGATGCACGGAATATATTTGTTGTAATATATTAAGAATATTTGGATTGATATATAATTATTTAAATTAGAACATCAAATATTACATAGTGCAATTGAAAATGTGATTTGAATCATTTATGTGTTTTGATGTTATCATTGCTTGAATTTGAGCAAATAATTGCTCAAATTAATAGCTAATATGTAGATGTACGCATGCGGTGCTGTAACTTTGGAGATTTTATTTATCATCGTTTAGTATTTTTTTTATAAATTAGGCAAATGTGCTCGTTCTATAGCAACTCAGTTATAGCAATGAATTGCTATCTTAATTCATTTGTATATATGGAAGATATATTTTTTTGTCTAGATATATAGCAATTTTGTCATTTAAAAAAAAAAACATAATATCACTGATTGTATTTACACATTATTGAAACCTCTTTGTAT